GTTACATTCAAAGCTTATGTTGGAAGATTAATGAATTGGGGAGGCAATCATTTTTCAGTAATTGCTGAGATGCCACATGATGACAAAGTTATTGCTAACTGCCCAGAATCCAAAATAACTGAACGTCATTAATGTTGAATGACTGTAAGATCCCATGACTTCATAAAATGCAGTTTAATACCTTCCTGTCTCTTAATTTGTCTCCTTAATTTATTATATAAATATAAGTATTTTTCTTCTGATTTTTGCAATGCAAAAGGCCTGAGCAGATCCTTGTGTCAATTTCGATTTGACATCTCTGTGCAAGTGATCTGATGAATGATAGCACAATCGCCATACACGTTAATGATAGTCCTAATACAGGTTAAGATTGTGGTGTATAGGATGTATACCCAAACAGTTCTTATTCATTGTTTGGAGAGATCCTTATTAATTAATATTATTTACTATCCTTATTATGGTTGTTAGAAAATTATAATTTGGTCACTCAATCCACAACTGTTCGTGGGACACTGCTGTGCGCAATTGGTGCTTGATGATCAACGTGCTTCACAGAATACACTGTAACGTCAATGGAGGAGAAAGATGACCAAAAGCACTGATTGAAGAGGCAAGTCGTGAGACAGGGCCAGACTCAAGAACACATTCTCAGTCACAAAGAGTAAGGATTCTTCCTATTTGACTCCTGTTAACCCTGCAAGCCAAAGCCCAGAGTGGTCTTAGCTAAATAAGCAATGGAAAACTTGACAGTAATCATATTGGCAAGCTGAGCAATTTTAAATTAGTCAGATTCCCAAAGCACACTGTGGGATCCACAAGCCTTGACTCATACCAACCTGCACCTAATATCTTTGTGATTAAGTAAGTAGGGTGCATCCCACCAGGGAGAGATTGTGCATTTCAAACCAAACAAACCGAAACCCTACACATGTGAAACTCGCAGAAGTTTGGTGTAAATGGAGGTTTGGAAGCTCTTAAGCATGGATATGGGTTTCTGTGTGTGTCAAACCAAAGGTAATTACCTCATTAAAACTGATATTTAATCCCAAAGTAGAAACACTAATGATTACACCAACTGGGATATTAATTAACCGTAACATGAACACTTTGTCAAGTGCAAAGTTATAAATGAATAATATTTTTGTCCTAATTTGGGGCCAAATATTGGGCAGGATAGCCCGAGGGAACGTGACCACTATGAAATGAATTGTACAATCTCTGAAAATTCTCAGTTTGGTTACTATTATTATAATTCAGATAATAATAATAATATGCCTTGAATTGATATTGCTCCTGATCACGTCTTTGAGACGTCTCAAAGCGCTTCACAGAATATACTGTAAAGTGAATGGACTGTATATTTTGTGGGCGAAACGCGGCAGCCGATTGCGCACAGCAATTTCCCACAAACAGTTGTGGATTGAAGTGACCAATTTATCATTTTTTGGGAGCAGGAATTATTTGTGAATTCAAGAATCCGATTCCACTTTTACTGGAGTGATATAATCAATGCATCTGTTCCAATAGAACTGTCCTGCTTGCAAGCATGCCTTGAATGGGTTAACTGTCTATTTCTTCCACGAAAATTGTACCTGCTCATCTCAGCACAGCACCAGATTTCCATTCATCTGGGCCTCAAATGACTTTTTGTCAAATCCATTTTCAGTCAAATTACATTTTGCTTCCAACTGTGCGTGTAGACTGTGTCAGCCTGGAGATTCAATTGATAGCATTCTTGTGTCCGAATCATACTCACACTGGGACTTTGAACCCAAACAGTCTAGTCTGATGCTCCAATGCAGTTGCAGAAAGATGCCTTTCTCACCATAGCATCAGAATTCCATTCATCTGGGCATCAAATGGCTTTCTGATGGGCATGTGTTGCATGGTTTAAAACCCTTCACTTCGACCGAGCCTTCAGCCATTCTCCTACCCTCCCTGCCTTCCAACCTCCCCTATCCCGACCCCCAACTCGGGTCCAAATCCCTGACTGTCCAGTGCCTTAGGAAGTCCTCCTGGCATGAAAGGCGCTATACAAATATAATTTTGTATGTGTATTGTTGGACATAAAACTGATATCCCATCTGCCTGTTCAGGTAGATGTAAAGATCCCATGGCCCTATTCGAAAAGCGAATGTATTCACATTTAATACTTAATTCCCGGCTTCTTTGCAAGATAGTTGCGTGTTCTGTATGTGAAGTAAATTCTAAACTAAACCATAGAATGTGAGGCGATGGCATTGAAACTGTGAGGTTTATCTCAGAGTCAGCAACTGCAATGTCGATTCCTTTTACATGATCCAGAAGCACAGGAAAAGTTTATTCACAATGAATAACGAACGCTGTGTAGGTTGAATATAATAGGTACCTCGCTGCGCAAAAGGAGGTGTTGGAAGCCAAATGAATTTGACTAATCCGTAATAAATATCTTCTAGTCTGAGCTGCCTTAACATCAGTCATTGAACACCCTCTGGGCAGAAACTCTTGGACATTCATGCAAGAATTGCAAATGTCAAATCCCATCTGCTTATCACCATTATCAAAGCACTTCATAAATAGCACATTTGTGGGCGTCCGAGGAGAGAACCTAGGCTAAGGCTGAAATTGCTTCAGATAATGCCTCGCAGCAGACCATGCATAAAGGATTACTGCAGATGCTTCCATCATCAGCCAAATCAGACTACAGTGAAAGAATTTACCAGAGTCGCTCCTGCAATCTCATAAACTCATGGGTTCACCCTGTAACCTTGCCTTTTTTAGTTCCCACAATCTGCCATGAAGTTAACCCAGCAATTGTATCTGGGGCTAGGATTGTTGGCTAGGACATTGGGGGAAATTCCCTTCTCTTTTCAAATACTGCTATGGGATCTTTAACGTCCACCTGAACAAGAAAACTGGACCTTGGTTTGACTTCTTATCTGAACGGCAATACCTCCAGCAATGCTGAGTTCAAAGATTTCAGGTGAGGCTTGAAACCTCAACTTCTACCAACTGAGCCAGGCTGACACGTCGCAAGCAACTATTACAACAAATAAAGCTTACTAACCACTTGATTCATAGGAACATAGGAAAGTTTAGGCCAGCAAAGAACCACTGCAGTCCATCTCTCAATCAAAAATCAACCTCTACTTTTTCTATCATACGTAATTGATTTGTTTGCTATTGAGCAGTCCTGTCTTGGATTTGCTGTTGTGCTGCTTGGTTTCAGTGTGGTTAGCATTGTCTCTGGTAGAAAATAGCTCCACTGGCAAAGAAAAGTTAGCTTTTGTTTGCCAACATCAGCTTTGCTAAGCCACACCTGGATAAATATCTCACTTTATTACTAACTGACTGCTCAGCTAATTCTCTATTATAGCAAGGTGACACAGAGACATCCTTCAAAGCAGTCAATTCCACTTTTCAGAGACTGTCTCCCATTCATTCCCAGTATGTGTGAAGCCTGTGGGGAGTGAAGGATCGTTTTGTTTCTTGTTTTAATTGAGTAGACGAGCAACGAATAATCATCCTGCATTTACACCTATCCTACTCGTTCCTATCAATTGCATTAACACTGAATTTATTAAGACGTATGAATAGCTTGGGATGTCAGTTGGTAGCACTCTCGATTCAGAGTCAGAAGATTGTGGGTTCAAGCCCCACATTGGGCCTTTGAACTCATATTGTGTAGGCTGACACTCTAATGCAGTGCTAAGGGTGCACTGCATTGTTGGAGATGATATCCTTTGGATGAGGTGTTAAAACCAAGGTCCTGTCTGCCTATTCAATTGAACATCAAAGATCCCATGGAATATTCAAAAAGAGAAGGGAATTTCTCCCAGATTCCTGGCCAACAAACCCCCAGACAAAATTGTTCATTCAGTTCATGGCAGATTGTGGGACATTGCTGTGCATAAATTGCCAAACGTATTTGCCTGAAAGGTATGGTATCAAATGTAAAGATCATTATTAATTTTTCTTGCTTAAAGTATGCTCAGAATCTGTATCTGCTGAATTAAAAATTTTCTCTCTCTCTCTTGCTCCTAAAGAACAGGAATAACCTCTGCTGAATGTATCATTTGAGATGTGAGTACTTTTAATCGCTAAATAAATACTATTTAAGCAATAAAGCAATGTCATAAAACATTCTTCATTTTTTAATACTTTCAATGCACTGAAAGGGTGAAATGGGATTTTTGCCATGAATAATACATTAATATTTCAACATTGATTAGACCTCCAGTGGAATCTTTCTGGTAGATGACTTCAATTGAATTTCAGAAAGTCACTGCATGAAGCCACAATAATTAGGCTTCGTTCGGATGGGATATATCCCTTGGCGAATATCGAACTGTTCTTTCAGTAAAATTGACGCATAAATGGACGCTTTCATTGACGCAAGCCAACCACGACTTGCATTGACGTAGCACCCCTCACTCAGGGGCATGTCCCAGAGCAATTGACAGAGGTGGAACACAACCCGAGCAGGAGAGAAAAGGAGAGTTGACCGTAAGCGCGGTCGAAAGGGAAGGTGTTCAGGAGAGAACTGAAGATAATAATCCTCATTTGATATAGCGCTTTTTCACGTCTTCTAGACGTCTCAAAGCGTTTCATGGAATATAATGTAAAGTGAATTGACTGTATGTGTGTGGGCGAAACTTCGCAGCCAATTGCGCACGGCATGGGGAAGGAAGGGGCTAGGTAGGCAGAGGGATTGAGGGAGAGTGTTCCAGAGTTTTGGGGTGCAGTGCTTGTTTAGGTTTGAAGAGAATGTGTTCTTGAGTCCTGGGTCTGCCTCAAGACTTACCTCTTCAATCAGTGGTTTTGGTCATCTTTCCCCTCCACTGACTGTAAATTTTTATGGATGAAACGCAGCAGCCAATTGCGCACAGCAGTGTCCCACAAACAGTCATGGAGTGACCAATTTATTATTAGTTTTTTAAGGAATTATTACCCCCGGAAAAGCGATCCGCCAATCGACTAACAATCAGATATAAATGTAAAGAAAAGTCCACACATTTGCAAAACACTATTTTATTAGAAATATTTTTGTATAAAAATTAACATGCTCTACACTTTCCATTAAGTATTCATAAACAACCAGGCACTGTACTTTTGATTTGTCAGGACATAAAGCAGACATTATTTTTTTTCCAGTCAATTTTTTTNGTCACATACATTAAACTTACCATCTATTTGGTCAGCACGGAAACATATTTTAATTTTGCGACACACAGAATCAGATCAAAATGAATAGAAATGAAAATAACTCCGACCACAATCACAGACGACGTCACAAGATTTAAAGGGAGTTATTTTTTTTGTCACCAATGAAACTGACGTGACTGAGAAATTTGTCATCGTCCTTGCGTGCAGTTTTGTCATCTCGACGGGCTGGGCCATTGAAGGATGTTGATCTCGGGCATCCAACCGTTTAAATACCCCCAAAGGAGCGTTAATATCCTTGTTGGCAGGTGCAGATGGACATTCGGAATAGCGAGATACCTGTCTTCCCAAGTGTCTTTATTCCTCATTTGCAAATAACTGAAGGGAGAACCGTGTTCTCTTAAATTGCATGATTACTGTAGCTGACATACGTTTGCTTGGTAGACAATGCTGGAAAAGATTGAAGCAGAAGACCAAGAAAGCATCAATGATGTGACATATTCAATGAAACCGAAATGAGCGCTGTCACTTTTGATCAATCCAGTCATATTACCCTTTGCCACTATGCCCTAAAGCTCTGGAACTCCCTGCTTCAAACCCCTCTTTATCTATCTTCAAATGCCACATAAGACCTAACTCTTCGATCGCACCTCCTCCTGCCCCCTTCTCCTTTGCTCAGGGTCTATTCCCGCCTCTCTCCCAGATGCTATCCCAAGTAAGGGCTGCTGTATAAAGCTGTTGCGTTTGAAATTGTCTTAGAAATTGTCTGACGGACTTCCTAAACTAAATCAAGTACTTATTGTTTTTAACCTTTATAGCAGTCTCGGGTTCATTTATTTCATGTTAAATTTTAGTCAAATCAAAACAAAAACAATTTACATTTATGTAACCCTTTTCTCATCAAGATGTCGCCACGAAGGGCTTCACACAATTGACTGGTTCCCTGGCTACCAACTGAGCCAGGCAGACACCCAATTTAGCACTGCTATATTGCTGAGACTAATCTGAGGTTGTAATTGTATTTTCTAATTAATTATTTCACATTAGAATAGGAGCTGCAGACTTCATTAATCCACTCATTATTTCCTGGGTGACATATTGATATTGTTTCTATCTCTCTTGCAAAATTATGACGGGAAGTGGTTGTTTATTACTGCCTCAACTTGGTGCTGAGGAAAGTGGTTTGTTTTCTATTGCGCAGTCAGACATGTACACAAGGTTTAAAGGGAGATTTTTTTCCTGGCAAATTGTGAAAGTATTATGAATTCTATAACAGTGCAACAGCAAAAAGTGTTCACAGCTTTGTTTCTGACCTTTGTGGGCTAGGGAAAGATTTCGCCCACAAAATACACAGTCACTACACTTTACAGTATATGCTGTAAAGCACTTTGAGACATTTCAACGATGTAATAACGCGCTATATCAAATAATAACAATAATAATCCTTGCATTTGATATTTAAAATACAAGGATTACTATCATTATAGATACCGTTGAATGGACATCATCCACATTATAGGCTGGAATAAACAGGTCAATCACTCAGCCGAAACCATGACTCCCTCCCCTGGCATCGTGTTGCTGGGAATCACCCTAAAACAGTTCAATTTTAGCTGTGGCTCAACTCTATGTTTGGTTTACTGCTCTATCACAAAAGATTGAAAACATAATAATAGTCCTTACATTTTACACAGCGCCTCACACATCAAGAATATCTCAAAGTAAATTTTCACAAAGTTTCTGTAAAGCGCAGTGACTTGTTTATTTGTAGGCAAACAGACATTTTTTGTGCACAGCAATGTCCCATAAATAGTCATTGCAGTGAATGATCAATTTTATTTGAGGGATTGTGGACCAGGACACCGGCAGAAACTTCCTTTATGGTGCAGAATTGTGGAACGTTCTTCAGTTCACTTTTAATTCAGGAGTAATAAGGACTGCGAGAAACAAATTATGACTGAATTTGAGAACTTTCCATAATTTGATCCTATTTAAATATTACGGCAAAGTAGTCTTACTAGTCTGGAGAGGAATAAAGAGACAGGGAATTTTGCTCTTTTTCTTATTGAAGGTCCAAAGAGATTTCAAGTCGATAATCAATGTCCTGTGAGGTATCAATCCAATTGCTTATCAGGGACTGAAAATGTGAGGTTCCTGTGATGTTGAGAGATACTGCCTCAGTGCCTTTCAAGGTCTCACTGGTGTTTGAATCTCGCTGAGGTCACACATCACAGTCTGAATCAGTCGCATTGAAATAAGTGGACAGTGTGGGGAGCGGGGGAGAGAGATTTAGATATGCACTTGATATAAAACCATTTGACAATTATCCTCAACAATCTAATCTAATTTTTCAACCAATGAGAAAACTACGAGTACTACAGGTCTGAAACTGCTCACTATCAATGCGCAGGAATTGTTTGGAGATTTTAGCAGGGATCAGGCACGGAAACCCAGTTTGCTTAAATAGTTGAGCTAATAATGAGCTTCAATAAGCTGTTATTTAATATTCTAGGTGATGGAAGGCACGTGCTAGGGAATTCAGCACTAAGCATGTTGGACCATTGATAGCGATAGTTAGATTTGTTCTGCTCTGGTGTATTCCCGCCTCATAAATCATTCACGACCTAAAGAGAATGAAATGCTGAACAAGTCGCTTTGGGCAGAACTGTTCTGGGAGGCCACGGAGTTAGCGACTTACACAGATGAAACACTCAACCTTTCACTGAACCCCGGACAACACTGTACTGGAATGGCAAAGTGAGAGACAAGAAGCCACATTATACACAGGACCCCGAGCTAGCTGATTGGGATACTTACACTGATTTGCTTTCCCAGTTAGTTGACAATAACCATCAGCAAGATGAAATCTCAAGCACTGATGTGGTTGACATATGGAATGGAGTCTTGTCTGACATATGGAATAAAGAGGTGATTAATCAGTATGTTTGCTCACCAGTCTGAACCAGTAGCCATGCAATCTAGTTAGTGCCCACTAATGCAGAACAAGTACCAGGCTACCCACTTTGCCACCATACAAAAGGAAAGTAATAATAATAATCCTGGCATTTGATATAGCACCTTATCACTTCTTCGAGACGTCTCAAAGCGCTCCACAGAATATCCTGTAAAGTGAATTGACTGTATATTTTGTAACACGTTACAAGTGCACTTCAATTCCCCATCCAAGGGATTCATGAGAAACTAGGTACAGAAAAGGTCACTTGCGAATTTTAGGACAGGTGTAGGCTATTCAGTCTCTCAACCCTACAACACCTTTAAACCCATGTCAACACTTGAATTCCACTCTATTCCATTCAGCCTGCCTTGTCCCTAACAACCCAGCAAAGCCTTGTGCAGACTATTTTCCTGTTAGAAAATAAGAAGCTAGGAGTAAGCTTTTAAGTATATCCTTAATCATATTACTTAATGCTGTCATCCACAGAGATCGATTGCAGTTGAAGCCAGACTAAGCTTTGGCACAAACATTGTATGAAATAAAAATAAAAATAAAGCTTTGTTATAATGTTAGTGAAGATGTACAGGACAGAGGACTGTTCCCTAACAGTCTGTGAATGCTTGTGAGCAGGACCTGTGTGTGTGTGTATCCAATCACGAGCTCTGAGGGCAGAGTAGAGCAGACAGTATAATAATGCTGACAGTACACAATACTCAAACCTGGGTGTTTATTTCAGACCAACACATGCAACTGAGTGCAACTGAGCCATAAATCTTTATTTGCCTGTCCCCTACATCAATTTCATAAACCGTTCCTCTAAATCACAATTTGGCCAGGGGTTAATTCGGGCTATAATTGTGACTCCAGCTTTTCTGCTCTTTACTTTGGCCTTCTTTTTATGTTCCGTATTCTATTCTGTACTTCTTAATTTATATTAACAATAATAATAATAATCGTCATCATCATTGCAATTGAAACAGCGCCCTTCACGTCGGGAAGACGTCTCAAAGCACATCACAAGATGTACTGTAAAGTGCAGCATCTGTGTGTTTTGTGGAGTATATCTGCTACTCCCTCATTACAATCCCTCACAGTCAACTTAATGCCCAACAATTCATTACCGTACTCTGCATTCCCCCTCAAATAACTGCTTAATTATCTACTTGTATGATGTCTGAACACTGACACGGACTAATTGGGCCAAATGGCCTGCTCTCTGTCATTCTATGCAGTTGTTCACAATATTTTATTCACTGACTCATTAATTGAAGGAGTGAACTCTAGTATGTACATCAAGCATTTGAACACGGGCAATAATTGATTGTTACTGAAATGTTCGGACAGTACTTAAAGCTAAATCAACATCAGAGAACAGGCAGAGTCATCTGTATTTTTGCTTGCAATTCCCTACCAACAATTTCCAATGAACTACTTGGATTAGCATTTTCCAGTAAATCTTTGCTCTGAACCAAATCTACCATTCGGGCAGTTACTCAAATGAGACACCCAGAGATTTGCAAACCCAAAGCAATATGATAAATCACACAAAAGCAGAGAGCATATCTGCTTGGAATGAGCAATGTAGAGTTCCAGTTGAAGAGCTGGCTGAAAAAAGTACGGCACTTTTAGTTCAATTGTAGTACATCCTGGGATTTTCTAAGGTATTGTTGCCTTTGAGGAAAATGCAGTTTTCAGTTTGAACATCAAGTCATTTAAGTGTGTTAAAAAGAATGACATCAATGGACTGCGTCAGGGTTTAATTGTGTCTGTACTAAATTTTCTGCTCAGACTGAGCTAGCAATTTGATTTGCACCACTTCTCTCTCCAGGTGGTCCCTTTGAGAGTACAGCTTACATGCAAATGACCAATTTTACCTGAGGGATGTTTCATCCAGGACTCGTTTTGTTTTGAATAGCGCCACGGGATCTCTAACGTCCACCTTAACAGGCAGAAGGGTCTTCAGTTTAATGTCTCATCCAAAGGACAGAACCTCCAATAATGTAACCCCCCCCCCCCAACATCAGGCAGGACCATCAACTCAAGTCCCAATGTGGGGCTTGAAACCGTACCTTCTGACTCAGAGGCCAAAGTGCTACTGATTGAGTCAGGTTGACACACAAATCTATTAAATCTGGACCCAGGTGTAATTTCTCTTTGTTCTTTGGAAAATGGAAGGTAAAGATACATAACAGAAAGTTGGAAAACGTTGACTTTTTCATTAGTGTCTGAAAGTTGTTGAGATAATCTGAATTGGCACACGCTTTGAAAGGAATACAGTTTAATAGAGAAATTATTCAGTTGATTAAGGCATCTGCGGCAGAACTCCAAGTGCGTGAGTGTGAAGCTTGAATATTGCCCGTCATTTAAATCTCCTATTGCACAGGTGACCTGCTTTTGTCAGCTCTCAACCAAATTGCTTTGTGGTGTTGTCTTATAAAAAGCCACATGGACAGTCTCAAACTCCCATTAATAATGCTTTCCAAGTCCTTCGCACAAGCTTAATGCTATTAACAGTTGTGTCTTTCTGGTGAAGATAAAATCATGGTGACCAGAGCCTTCAGCAAAAAAAGATCATTCAATGAAGTGAAGATGTATACATATTGTGTCCAGTAGGGACAGAGAGCAGGGCCACCAATAAAAGTACTGATCCGTCAAATAAGTATGTGAGTCTTTGACATAAATTGGTGTGCATTATGACTTCTGTGTTGAATTGCATGAGATGTTTAAAAAATAATTTGAGCCATGATTAACATCAATCCTATGTTAAGTGGGTATTCTGGAAGGATAATGGGTTGAAGGGATTTCTTCATCTGAACTAATCTTGTGATCTTGTGGGCTTAATTTGTAATGATTTATTGTCAGAATCCATTCAGAATCCCCATCAACCCAAGGGATCTACAAAGATTAGTATTGAGTAAGTTTCTCTGGAAGCAGCCCATATTTAAGCAGGGTTCCCGTGAATGTATTTCTGTTAGAGAAAGCATTCCCCATTTGGACAACTCGGATTCCTTATTAAGCAATCCCTTGAAGAAATCTAGCAAATTAGGTGCCGTTCTATTCAACTGAAAGATGTGCACGTTAACCTGATGTGTGACAGACTCCGCCACTGTCAAGCGCTCCGGGATGCTACCCTGTGTGAAGGGCGCTATATAAATGCAAGCTGTTGTTGTGTGCAGATGTGAACCTAATGCATGCAGATGTTTCAGGCGTGATACAGATTCGAGGGCCTGAGTGAGAACTCGATGCAGATGTTCTCAATCAGGCTACATTATCAGTTCTTGTGCACGGTGCTAGCAATTATCTTTAATGTTTGCTCAGATTCTTTTCGAGCTGAACCGAGTTGACGCAAATTTTATTCACAGTTCCGTGGGGGTGTCAGATTTTACTGGCAGATTTATCTCTACCCTACCAGCTGCTCCTTGTTCCCTAACTTAATTCCAAGCGTCTTTTTATTCGATTCTACATTACATAACCCTGGAAATTGCATGTCACGTACATCTCGCATACTCCGAGTCCCCCGATACGTTTTGTATCATTTGAAAATTTCACATGTTCATACAAATTAATGCTTCTAAATTGTATTTTAAGCATGAAAGATGTATTTTAAGCATGAAAGACGCACCATTTTGCTGTGCGGAGCCCTATAAGACACTTAATCTGAAATGCCCTAGAATTAATAAGCAATTCATAGGATGACTCATACAAATTAAGTATTGCTTGTTTTACTGTTAATTACCGGGTGATTCATAGTTGTGTGATTTGAACTCAAAATGTTTTTACAACTACAGAATTTGAAAGCCTCAACAGACAGACACGGTCGGAAGGAATCCTCACTTTTCGGGATAAAATGTGTGATCTTGTGAACTTGGGTGATGTCTATCAAACAATTTGAGAGGAGCTTCAATAAGCAAAAATTAACACTGGGGCAAAACAAAGCTTTTACAACATGAAACCCTGAATGATGTGGAAGTTAAAAGAAAACGATTTGTAATTTTAAATTCATAGGATAAAAAGTTAATTAACATCTAAAACAGTATCAGTGGAATTCACGATATAGATTCGGGCCATTCTTTAAATGTTTTCTTCAAAACTTAACACAGATTTATACCAGTGAAGGGATTAGCCTAACACTAATCTTAAACCACACTAATACAGTGGATTTTACCAGTGAGCAAATCCATTCTAATCAATGTCTAATATTGTCACTCAGTGATCAGATCAGATCATGATCATGTCTTAACTCAGCACCAGCGAAGGCTTTGAATCCCCCTGCCAATCAAATCAGAACTCTTCATCTATTCTTAAAGCAGGAATTCTGAGAGTAAACACTCCACAGTCAGTTTTACGACAATGTCATTCTGAATTGCACAAGAAAAAACACAAACTGAACGTACACTCCTCTCAGACTAGTTGTTTACTTGCTGCAGATTTTATGTAAGAGTAGCCCAACTACACGTGGGAAACTTTGCAATTCAGAAAGTCTGATTTTACTGACTTTCACTCTGTGAAATGTATCTGGTTAATTCTGTACCTCCTCGGAAGGGAATATTTTCACTGGATGGATGGTGTAGCTTTTGCCCCCCCCCCACATCCTGTGACAGGAGTATGTTGAACAATACATAACTCTGCCTTTGCATTATGCGCCAAATAGCTGGAGGGTTCAACTAATGGGCTCTGTTTAGATGATGTGGTCAGTAATTAGGTGGGTAATTATTTGGTGTTTAATGTTTTCAGTGTAACCTCCATGGCCCTGGCTTTAAGCACCCATTCTTGTTAATTAAGCAATAAAATACAGAAATGTGCACTGGAAAAAAGGGCAGTTTTCGTTTTAAGTAGTGTTTTATTGTGAAATCAATGTTCTTACCTCAGCATATCCTCTACGTAGGATCAATTCAATGATCTGATAAAAATTCAACATGGCAGCATTCAAATGACAGGAATTGGGTTTAATGCAAGAACAAAGGCCTTCATATTTTAAACACGCTCATAAATAAGCAGCAACTGAATTTCTCTGAATATTGTTCGATAATCGGAGCTAAATTACACATCTGGTTGAATGTATTAAACAGAACTAGTTGGATTATCCTAATCTCACTGTGATTTGTTATCTACTTATTAAATGTCACTCCAGGCACAGTACATGCACCCATGTCTATATGCGTACGTGTTTGAGTGCATATGTGCGTGTGAGGTGTATGTATGTATTATGTAGGTATTGTATGTATGTGCACAACACTGTGGTTGGGTTCAATTTGAAACAGCCTTGAGGTACCCTGAGGTAGCTGAAGTTATGGATCTTATCCATTAATGCTTGCCCCTATCTGCGAGATGCCAGAACAATAACAACCAAAGTTACTGCTCTGCTCAGAGCCAAACAGCTGCCCTTTATCCACCGCATTCCTTTGCCATTCACCTACTCACTGCTTGTGAGACTTTGCTGGTGTAAATGTGTGTTGTAATTTCCCATAAAGCCACTCGCAACACTTGACGATAATTAATAATAATAGCCCTTGAATTCAATATTGCACCTTTTCTGTCGGGAGGACGTTGCAAAGTGCTTCACTGGATTTTACTTGTAAAGCGCAGTGACTGTATTTTGTAGGCATTGTGCAAGGTGCTATAATAAGTGAAGATCTTACCTTCCTTTATTCTATATGGTTTTGGTGATTAAGTACGATGAACAAAAAACAGGAGAAATAAACAAATAAACGTACTGAGAAGCCCACAGATACAGGATCAATTAGAACTTTTAAAAGAAAGATAGATGGATACTTTAGGGGTACGATTATTTAGGGAGATGGAGAAAAGGCAGACAGGTGGGGCTAAAATACCTAATAAGTCAGCAAAACAGACGAGAGAAACACGCGTCCAAATTAAGACTTAATTGAAGATCTTTTTCACAAATCTGCTCCACTGTTAAAATTTGAGACTTTTTTTTTAAGGGTTACGACAAAATGAAATTTCAGGCCTGGTATCTGTTAAAAGGTTATTGCAGTGTTAATGCATTGTTCTCAACTAGTGTTGTGAATTTACTTATGTTCCTTTGCTTCTGCAGCACAGCACGTTATGGACAGTTGTTACGTGTAACTCAGGTAACTACAACCGAACTGTGAAGAGATGGTAAGGGTACAGGAGGAGTGAGCAGCATGTACTTCTTAAGATTATGAAAAGTGATGAGTATAAAGGAGATACAGCAGGGCGTAATATGTGCCAGTCATTCCCTGGATTCTCAAGTACTGACTCTTAATGGCAACACGAAACACAAAATCACAAGCCAATCCACTTCACAGTATAGCCTGCGAAGCGCTTTGAGACGTCTCAACAACGTGATAAGGCGCTGTATCAAATGCAAAGATTATTATTATAAACAGGCTCAATAGGCTGACCATACGACTCGTGTCCCTCTGTGCTAAAGACTGATCCCAACGCACAAGTCAGTGTAACACACTTCCCTTCCGATCACCATCAGAAATTGCTACTTGTGAATTCAGGCAAGTAACCAATTCCGTCGTTTTTTTTGTGTAACCCGGATCTCTCTTTAATGGTGGGAGCAGCCGGTTATTAAGCGCTCGGAGACGCTACCCTGCCTGGGGGGAGGGGTGTGTGTGTGTGTGCTATAGAAGTGCAAGTTGTTGTTCCAGTTACCTTGGGATTCCAGGTTTTCACACAGCTCTGTTTTGGCCTCTCCATTGGGACGGAGAGCTCCTTTCTGGGTAAACTTGTTGGACATGGTGGCTGCCGTCACTACGGCCTTCAGGCTGCGCTTGCGCTTCTGCACGTTCTGCTCTGGGTGGAGGAGGATGATGTAAACCTTGGGCATGTACAGCATGCCCAGTGACACAGAAGCACTCAGGTTTATAGAGATGGTCAGAGTGGTGGTTTGAATATACATCTGAAAAAGAAAAAGCAAAAAGACCTTTGCAGTAAGTCTGTTACACTTGCAATCAATTTTTTTGTCCTCCGGAAATCAATAGGGTTACAGATATTCTGGTGGTGGGGAAAAGGGGTGCAATCGCCTTAGAAATCAGAACCAAGATAGTTAGGAGGCATATTTAGGCAAGTTTCCTTGCTCCACGTTCTACTGTTAATCTGTCTTGAATTAATTGCAATTGCATTATTCTTTAAAAATCCAGCATCTAGCATTTTATCAAATGCCTTCTGATTTAACCCATTTGGCTTCTTTTTTCCTCTTGATGCTGATTGATTATACCCTGGATTTGCATTTTATTGTATCATTTCAGCTGGAAGAGTGGTTTTGCCTTCTAAACAAAAAAATGTGCTGCAGAAAATAGATGTACTATAGGAAATCAACTGGACTCTAACATTGGTTGTTGTCTAACGAGCTCAAGCTTTTCGTTCCTCATGTATGAATGGATACCAGAAGAAGGTAAGCCATGTAGATATATCCATGTGGGGCTTGAAGGCGAAAAAAACACGTATATTATTTACAGACAGCGAATGTAACACGCCTCATTGATATAAAGCTGCAAAACACAACTTGCTCATTTTTCTCTGGAAACAATGTCAATACATTCGGGTTTAAATTAAACCCAGGAGCCTTGCCTCGGGCCACCGACTGCATAGCTGAGCAAGGATTTAAAGAGCTTTAGGTCTACTTCAGTGTTCTCGCAAAACCATAATCAGTTAGTGGAAATTCTCAAATGTAGTTTCAAATCCAAAGCTATGAATTGCTTGTAATAATAATGAACGTGAACACTGTTAAATGCTCAAGGCAATTTTTTTCCCTTCATGTTCCTACATTTTCGAGGATCGGGGTAGTGAGAGTCTTGAACTGTATAATTCGAAAAGAGCTTATGCAACCGGAGCAGAAGAAAAGAAATCACTTCATCAATATCCAAAATGAATTTGAAAAAAATCCCCAATTATAATAATAATAAATGCTTTCATTTGATATAGTGCCTCATCAGATCGTTGAGACATCTCAAAGTGCTTCGCAGAATATATTATGAAGTGAATTGACTATGTATTTTGTGGGTGAAACGTGGCAGCTAATTGCACACAGGAGTGTCCGACAAATAGTCATGGATTCAGTGACCACATTTATTTATTTTTGGCGAAGGGATCATTACCCCAGGAAAGCAATCTGCCAATCAACCAACAACAGGGTTCCTAATTACTGCTAGGTAATCAGAGGGGAGTGGGGAGTAAGGAAATTTGTCTGGGAATCAAACTCATGTCCACTCGCATGCGAAGCGAGCACACGAGCCACTACACATAGGAATCCACATATATTAACATGTAATGTATGTTACTTAAACACTGCGGACACAGGAAAAGTAACACACCTTATGAAAATAAAACTGCAAAAACTGCAGTTTCTGGTTATACTACATCCTGGACATATTAAAATCAAACGTAAAACAACAGGCGAGCGATTACGAGGCAGCAATATAATCAAGAAGGGTTTGCAAGATGGGATTCAGACGCAAAGTTAAAGCAGTCAAAGCACCAAAGTTAAACCAGCAGGAACGTGCTCTCTATTCCAGGCACCCCGCCCCCCCACCGCCCCCACCCCCCGATGTCTTCCCCCACTATCCCTGCACCATCTTTAGGAGTCGCCTGACCAAATTACTGGGTAGCTTGCTGGAACACATGGACAATGACTGCTCGGGTGAGATGCTTTTAATGTCACTGTCACTGGCTACAAAGTTATGAGACGTCATTCCTCCGGACGGGTGAGGCAAGGAAGGTGGTAAGAAAACTGCAAGGAGAAATGAAAGTCCGGGATAGATAACAGGGAACTGGAAGGTTGGTCAGAATGTGGAATTTTCGGCCACAGAGCAGCCTAGAACAGGGCATACCTTACTTCCTGCCCTCCCTTGTCTCCTTTAAGACCCCTCTTCGACTGTGCCTTCGGTCACCCTCCTACCCCCTACCCTCCCAGCCCTCGACGCCTCCTGATCCCAGCCACCAGCTCAGGACCTCCTCCTGACCTGAACGGCGCCATACAAATGTAATGCGTTGTTGTTGCCTCACATCACTCTCCTGTATCTTGGTAGGGAGAGGGCCAGGGCTCTTCAGCCTAGAAAAGTGCTGCTTTGAGACATCCTCTCTGCGTGAGAGGCACAATGTTATTATTATAATTAGTTTTATTATTGCTTCTTATGGGATTCTTTAATAAGGAACGCAAATTACCCAAATGGGGGCCGGAACTTCATTCCAATGCAATCAACGTCCAAAATGGAATTTGACAGGAATTGGGAATTCAGGTAAAATAGCACAAGCTAGGCAGCCCCCGGAGATAAACAATAATAACAGTGCTTGCATTTGATATAGCGCCTTATCACATCTTTGAGACGTCTCAAAGCTCTTCACAGAATATCCTGTGAAGTGAATTGACTGTATATTTTGTGGGGATCTTTCTGTTGCGTGCTTTTAACAGCATTCCCCGGCCATTTTTTTGTGTCAACAATGTTAAAACGGCAGAAGGCTCACCACTTTGAAGCTGTCCTCGACAGGAGAGATTGCTCATGTCTGCGATTTGTCTGTTCTGAGCTTATACACTGTTGCCCTCGAGCCATTTTCAGAACATGTACTTATGCGGAGTTCCCTTGCAAAGTGTCACTTTTATCTGGTCAACTGAGAGTGTTGACCTCTGTGTAAGTTACAGATAAGCTCCACATCCGTGCTACAGTTCCATATTATAAGTCTCTTTCATTAAACTGAGCTTGTGGAAACAACGGCCCAAGACACACACACAAATGCAGGCGGGAGATCGGCACAGTGCTTCATTTTAGTTCTGTGGGGCTCGTCCAATGTCTCTGCCTTTGTCTTGAGTGTGGGACACATCCGTGAAGTCGTTGATCAATATTTAAGAACGGAACTGCATTGAAGCTATCGTTGCAATGAAAGCTAAACTGTGTGTTATTTGGAAAATGTCCGTCTACACATTGATTTATAATGACAATATTCCTCAAATTTGAACACAGGGCCTTTCATGTTGAGAGAAGGTCATCGGTCTCTTTACAGGCATATACTGTAGAGTCCAGTGCAGTGTATTTTGTAGGTGTGACGGATTCTGATTAATCAGATTCTTTATTAAGAAATATCATTAGGAAACCTGCATTTTAGTCCTCTAAATGTCAGAGCATTTTAATATCGTATACTTTAGGCGCAGAGAAGGTGTGTTTTCATTGTTGAATTGTTTCATTATGTACAGAGTAGCACCCAGTGATAGGAGAGATTCCCTACAAAGATCCAAGGGAACTATTTAAAACTATTTATCACACCGACTAACAGCTTCAATGCTGTGATGGGAAGACAGGAAGGTAATTACTCTGGAAGAGAAGAATGAGAACAAATAGTTCGAAGTTTTTTTTAATGCAAACTGATCTTGTGATCTGGTGAATAAGGTATATCTCTAGCTGAAAATGTGCCTATCATTGCCATGCTTTGTTTAGACACCAGCGAATCTCAAATGATCAAGTGGAATGTATGAAACCCCAAGCCTTGGCTCTTGCCAACTTGTGCCTAATACTTTTACGGAATTAGGTAAGCGGGATGCATCTCTCCAGAGAAAGAGTGCACATTCCACTCCAGCAATCTATCTCTGGGATTTCTATGTGTAAGTGGGATGCATGGAAATCTCAGTTTGCTTTGGATACACTAAAGCATGGTGATGGCTTTCCGTATGTGTCAGGCACCCTCAAAAAATGAAACAACGCTGTGTGACTTTAAAAGCAGACAGGTTACAAAACAGAATCTGATATTGTGTACCTTTTAAAAATACACAGTTCTTGGTGTTTTTGGCTTTGCTGATTGAATAATAATAATAATAATAATCCTTGCATTTTACAAATTGCGCTTTTCACGTCTTCTAGATGTCTCAAAGCGCTTCGCAGAATATATTGTTTAGTGAATTTTACTGTATATTTGTGGGCGAATCGCGGCAGACAATTGCGCAAGGCAGTGTCCCACAAACAGTCGTGGATTGAAGTGACTGATTTTATTGTTTTGTTTTTTCTTGAGTATTATCAGGCGAGTGAAGTGTGGAAACTTGCCCAAGGTTTCGCCCTTCCGGGAATCGAACGCAGGTCTTGCAAGGCGAGTGCTCTAACCACCGAGCTACAGGACTCCACAATGTCCTGACGTTGCCAACTTCTGGTATTCGATTCACAATTTTTAAAACCACAAGTGATGTCAAAATAGTATTCACAATTCCTTATTGGCTGCAAATGAAATTTGGCAGAATCCACACTTCTGAAAGCAATACCCCAGTTCTGCGGCTAGTTGCACATCGATTTGATGTGAAATAAAAACAAAACCGACACAAACTCTGCAATGCTGCTCCAAGAATGGATAGATAAGCCTCAAAAAGGCAAGGGAGTTTTACAGAGAAATATAAGATGTTCAAGGGGATAGAGATACTCAGCACAATACTTTCAAGATATGCCGAGCCAGAAGGAGAGGAGGGCAATGGTTCAGAACTGTTCAAGGCAAGTTCAGAACATAGTGCAGGAAGTATTTCAAGACGTATTAGAGGGTAATCAATAGCTGGAACGGGTTAAAGGAAAAGGTGGCTGAAACCAGAGCAGTAAAATCGATCAAAACACTTGGCTCGGTATCGTAATAGAATGATGGGAGTATTCAGAAAGGACAAGACCAGATGGGACAAATAGCATTCTTCATCCAAACCACATGTGACTACACTACTGAGGTCCAGATTGTGCACTTGAAGAACTTTGAATTTATTAAAAACAATAAAGATGTAGGTAGCTATCTATTTTGGAGTTTTCACCTCTTCCAAACAGCCAGAATCATTTAGCAAATTGCTGCTGATAAGAATTGGGTTTTTGAGATAAATGGTTATAAAGAGGTCTTGATCCGAATCTTTGATTAGGTATAGATTAGTGCCTTCAGTAAAACCACTCT